TTGTTACACCCGGGTGTGACGTGGGAATATATCAGGTTTAAAACAATTATTTTAAGTGTATTAATCTAGATAGATGTGTATTAATTAATAGACCACACGACGGGACTGATCGTGACAAGGCTGTTCCGCCCGTCACCTAATAATCATCGTAATTTGTAATAAGTAGTGATTTAATATAAGCTGAGCTTTTTCGCCCGCCACCTAGTAATCCGATTTAACACAATAAAATGCGTTCTGTAACCACTATAATTTATGGTTACGAATGAAGAGGAATAGGGCTGAGCTACTATCGGTTACGATGGACGTGAGCTGTTTCGCCCGTCCCCTAACAATCAAATTTTAATAATAAAACTAAATAGAGTACGTTCTTTAACAATTATAACTTGTGGTTGTTAAAGACAGTTGTAGAGCTAAGCTACTATCGATGGACGTGAGCTGTTTCGCCCGTCCCCTAACAATCGAATTTTAATAATAAAACTATAGTAGACCACTATCCGTCTACACCATGAAATAAATCTACTCTCAAGAAGACAACTAACAATACCCGTAAATAGTCTTGTTAAGAGTATAACCTATCTAACTGTTTTAGCTCGAAACTATCGTGACCCATAAATTCCAACAAAAAGGAATATTAAAGCAAAATTAATAGTAGTGAATTTAATTAATTATATTTAATACACAGAGTACTTACAGTTGGTGATCGTTTAGAATAGGGACGACGTCCACGTTTATTTTACCCAATGGGTTTTTGTGAATGAGAGCGGGTTAACAGGGAGTAGTCAAGAGAGGGAAGTGACCAGCTACACGCCGGCCGATCGAGTGTCGGTTGATCCTAGGTCCTGGAGAACTCTCGCCCTACCCCTACCACTACGTCCTTAAGACGCTACTAGTGCTGCGGGTGGACACTGCCGGTAACATTTCCCGCTCTAATTTAAAATTGAATAGAGGTCCAATTTGGGACCTTACAATACAGTACTTTCTTTTTATGCACAGAAAAAAATCCCGTCCCGTCCCGTCCCGAAAATCGGGAAGGAAATAAAAATCCCGTCCCGTCCCGTCCCGAACTAAAAATTCAATCCCGTCCATCCCTAGTAAGCAGGTTTGCTGCGACGGGGGTATTATTTTCTTTTAATGTCAAGAGATATCCATGGATTGTTGTTGTTAATCTTTTGAGTTTTTAACGTTTTAGGAAAGCTATTTTCAAAGGTGTGTAGAAAAATTGAATGGAAAGTGTCATACTTTGTTTCTACTGTTGCTTGGTAAACTCCATGCGAGTTAACTTTTGCCAATAGTGTAAGGAATATGTTTGTATTACTATCCGAAAAGCTCCTTGTATAAACTTTGTTTACACAGTTCTTACAACTATTTACATCAACTATTTCAAACAAATGTCCATCATGATCAGAAATGCATAATACCAGATATTTTTAATTTCTTATCCTTAATATTAGTTATAAAGTTGTCTAAGGCAGTTTCTGTTTCTGAGGTAATTCTAGTGGGAAAATCTACTTTGTATTCCATATTATAAGATTTTAGAACATTCACAAAGAATTTGTAGGTTTTATCTTGGTTTAAAACATTAATATTAACTAGTGTCCTGTTGCTCGAAATCGAGCAATTGTCAAGTACCGGTATTATACAGAAGTCATTTCAAAACTACAGTAACGAGGTGTTAGCCCGTCCTACGTACGGGAACTCAGTAGTCAGTTAAAACCGTGTACAATTCAGATCAGCTAGTTTACACATATATAAAGACAAAGTTGCTTGCAGTTTTAATGTGAAAAATCATATTATAAACAAATGTTGTGTGACCAAATATGTTTTTATTCCATCATATAGGCCTATACGATATGCATTTTAAATCCGATAATTTTACAATAAAAAAGCAATCCTGCAATTTTTACGATGTGAAAAGCGTTGAAGTGAGATTTGCAGCCGATTCGCACAGACGCACACTGATTATAAGTAGTCTACAGTAGAGAGAGTAATAGTCAATTGAGAAGTGTATAGACCTAGTCAACGATACCACCTTCCATAGCATACCTGCCTCTTCCATAATTATTATACCAAAATAAAACTACTATACACAATTTCCAGTAGGTCTGAATAGAAACGACCTAAAATAAAACGATAGTATCCAATAAAATTCGCAGTACACATAATTTAAATTTGGTGTCCTAACTTCAAAACTAATCGTCACACCTATCCTTTGTATCAATTTCACTGCATTAATTGCTAAATAAATAAGTGTAAACAAAGAAAAGTAAAAACAATAACAGTTTGTTTTGAAACAGCTGTTTGGTTCAAATAACATTCATTTAAAAAAAAGAACTGGTCACATAGCAGGAATATAAAAAGTAAACACGCTAGTAAAGCTAATGACGTAATTGTCAATGTTTATTATCCATACCGTTGTTATCAGTTCTCTATCCTTGATAATTACCCACCCTCATTGAATAAATGTACATCGTAATTTCCCATATTAGTTAATTTAAACTACAATATATTCATAGTTGAAATAAAAGTGATATTTTCACGTTTGGGGTCGCTGATATAGGCACCACCAAACGTAACCGCAACTGAACACGATTTTATGAAAGGATGGTTTGTCGCAGCTGATTTTTGGTGATATGTGGTTTCTATGGCAACACAAATTGTTTGTTATTCGTTAAAATAAATGAGTAAATACGCAAATCAAGAAGCAAGATATTTATAAACATTATAATAGTAAGAAGAAAAAAAATGGTGAAAAATAATAATAACTAAATGACTAATGTCGCTGCCTAGCGGTGACACGAGCGGCACTCGTAAGTCGGCCGCCGGGCCTGCAGCGGCCGTACGAGTAACGCTCGTAAGTCGGCGCCAATGGGTTAATAAAATAGAAGTATCTACACGAAATAGTTTGTAAGATAACAAAATTCAGCATATTGCATTTTATATGGTGTTCTAACCTTAAACATTGTTATGTTTCAATGCAAAAATGCAATTGATACAAAGAAGCTATGTTGCCAATTTGTGTTTGTAAATAAAAAATATAAATTGTAAATGCCAGCATGAAAACAATTAAAATAATTATTTACTGCTCAAATAATTTTTTATGTAAAACATTTTTCATCAATCGAAGCAAAAGTATATTATTTATGGTACTTAAAATTGTTTCAGCGAATTTCCCTATAGGGAAGTAGCTATAACCGTAGGTGGCACGGTAAGACCTAGGCCCGGGACCGATTTACTTTTTCGTTTTGATGTCACCAGAGGCCAAAAACACCATTCATTCAAATTTTTATATATGTATATAGATTTATATATATACGTCCTTGAACACGATAACTTGAGTAATTTTTGTTCGATTTTGATGAAATTTGGTTTAAAGGTGTAAGGCGGGATAAACTTGAATTAGTCCACGAACCAGCATGATCGGATCATGGGAACGGGGTTTTACGGGGGTTGTTTTAGGGGTAAAAAATGGTCTTTCTCATTTTTGACCCCCAAAACACAAAATTTTGTAATTTCCCTCTAGGCCTTTTTAAATAGCTTAAAAACGAAATATTTATTATATCAAAGTGTTTTTGTACGGTTATTGGTAATAAAGAAAATTTTAAAAACTTTAAATTTTAAATTGCCATGTTATTTTTATGGAGAATATCGTAAAATGTTGTAGTTTGCTTGTTTATGGATATATTTTGATCAAACTCGGCAAATTTATTTATTTAAAACTAAGCTATTAATATTTTACTAAAAAATACACTTTATTAGTTTCCTTATAGCAGCGAACCTAGGCACTCATTAAACCTAATGTTATGTTAGGTTTAGTTGAAAATCAATTCAGAGAAATGGAAATTCACTTAGTCGTCAGGTTTGCTGCTACAGGGGTATTTTAGTTTGTGGCAGCACAGTATTATTAGTTTATTAGCTGCTTGTTGCACTGTTCCAGGGCTGGCACGAGAATTGGCAACTCAGAACTAAGGAAGTTGTAGTTCCTGTGCACGGCACAAGGTGCGCTAGCTACTGGCATAGTTTTGTGTTCCACAATAGGCGTGTACCTGAGCTACTCAAACACACTTCTACGAGATGAAAAATACTTAATTGTGGCATGTGATGTTTAAATGACGTTATAATGCTGGAAAACCACAAAAATGATCGAATTAGCTGTGCCACCCTGAAAAGGATGCCACAATTTTTCAAGGTGCCACAGTACGGCCGTGTGCCGGTGAAGGATGCCTTTATTCGGTGAAAACAGACACACACACACACACACACACACAATATTTCTATTATTAAGTTATCTAAAAATAAAAATACTAGCCTAGGGCCTTTCCTGTTTTTATAAAACTAATTATTATAGAAGTTCTTTTCAGAAGCTAATACAGTAGAACCTTGCTAATTAAAATTTCAGAGGAAAGACAATATATTTTGAATTATAGGACGTTTGAAATATAGAGAGTTTGAATTATAGAGGTCAGAATAAATAAAATTTGAATTATGGAGGTCCCAGTTTTAAGTGTAGAGTAAGTGAGAGAGCGGAGACTAATGAACACATTGTGGAACATCATTAAGAACGTCTGTTCATGTTTCAACAGGCATATTTGTTGTTCTAAATTCAAATTACAGAGGCTTACGGTGACATAGTTCGAATTGTAGAGGTTGACTTTGAATTTTGGAGGTAACAATTCAAATTATGGCAACAAAATTTGAATTGTAGAGGCTCAAGTAGGTACAAATTAAAGTTGTAGAGGCAGCGATAATAAAAAAAAATCACTTCATATTATCGGTATATTATTTTTGAATTTTAGAGGTTTTCTGAGGGTAACAAACATTACTAATTATAGAGGTTCGAATTAGTGAGGTTCTGCTGTATTATTGTTATTACACATAAAGATCTGACAAACCTTAATAGCCCTCTTACCTTCTTAATAATTTTGTACTGGGAACAATACATTGATAAACAGTACTGTAAACAAGACAATCAAGTGCAAGAGTAGAATACATAAAAATAATACCTGGTACTGTTTTCTTCTTGTAAAACATTCCCTTTTCCTTCGGCTGTGTTTCTATTTATATCCATAAGAGTGTTATCAAAAGCAGACTCGTATTCAACGTTCTAAAAAAAACAAAAAACAAACATACGGTAAAGAAACACTGAACAAGACCAACAAACACATATAGCTTAGTCAAGCAAACTTAAACATGGTTGCCACTGCAGTGAGATGGAAAGTCCATGCAGAATTAATGAGTTTCATTGGTAGTAAAAAATTCATCATTAATTATTAAAATAATCATAATCATTAATTATGCTTGCATAATTTCAACACAAACAAACGTTGCTTATTTCAGCATTGTACAGCATTAGAGACAGTTGCTTTGTGTGTTACTAATATGATTTAAAACAAAACTTGACAATAGTTCTGGCTTCTTTCATTGTCAAAAGAGTTTATGAATACAGTAGAACTCCGATTATCCGAATCAATTGGCACCAGACCCCATTCGGATAATAAAAAATTCGGATATTCAGAGTTTTACAGGAATTCCGGGAATTTCCAAGAAAAATCCTCATTTCCGGTACTAAATTAATTTTTAATTAATAATAAATTAAATCAGAACATTTTTACAGTATACAATGCTCAACACAATGCACAAGTGTTCTAAACTTGTTCTTAATAACAATTCTTTGATATTTTCCAAACCTTATTATTACTGTAGCTACATTATTAAAATTTTTGAAATAAGCGATTCGGATAATCGGCGATTTGGTTAATTGGAGTTCCAGTTCGGATAATTGGAGTTCTACTGTAATTCAAGGTTTTTCATGGATGGTGGTAACCCTGCTATAGCTTTGTTAACCAATAATTTTAGTTACCTGGTTTAATTTTCAATACAGCTATAATAGTTCTCCTATTATAACTATTATTATACTATTTATCAACTCTAACTAAGCGCCTGTGGGTTCAGCCCCAGTTAATGGCTGGCCCGAGAGATATGTTCAAGTTAAGCTCAGGTCTGGTCATTTATATTAGACGTGTGCAAGCAGCTTGATATGAGCCATTCTAAGCTTGTGTTTTACTAAATTATTGCGACCGCATGGAGCATCTGGGAAGTTTGCACGGACAAAAACTTTCGATTTTGCCGTGAATTCAAGATATGTTGACAATTTTAAACAGTGCTCGCAGTAAACGCTCATGATTCTACCACAACTACAGGGGACAATCATAATTATGGGTCGACCACAGATGTTCATGATTTTGCTGTGACCACAGAAGACCTTATCAATGTCACTGTAATCACTGAAGATAACAAAGATTTTATAAACCCATTGCAGTAAAATAAATGAAATTTCTTTTTCAATCACTTTAATCCAAAGCAGCCTAATATTAGATGGAAATCAGAGGGTAAAAAAGTTGACTTCAAAGTAAAAATATCTGCCCTACTCAAAATTCACAAACTTGCAAACTACAGCAATCAAGTTATTCAATTTTAAGTTGATCCATTAACTTTTCATGCTGCAGGTTGATTTTGCATAATATTGCAAAATCTAAATCCTATTTAGATGTGCGTTTTATGTCCAGTTACGATTGAGTATACTGATATTGACTGTTTTCATCTTATTTTAAGGTAAATTATACTTGTGTTTTAACTTAGTGGTTATATTTGAGGACAAGCTAATGTTTATAAATACTAGAGGTGTGCGGATAGTGAAATTTCATTTCGGATCGGATTCGGATCGGATAGTTGAGGCTCGGTTCGGATCGGATCGGATATTGGGAGGTTCGGATTCGGATAGTTCGGCGCGGTTAATAATAAGCTGCATATGCATTTTTAACCTAAAACACTGTAAAGCTGTGTAAATAAACTTAAATGACGATTTTGAATCATATAATTTCAAATTAGCCACGTCCACAGTTTTTCTCTCTTGAAAATCACAATCCACAACATCTATTTTCAAAAGTTGGTTGCTTGAATTAAGTACACTAGCAGCCGAAATCTTCACACAACACTTTAGCTCAGCAGAACTGATGTCAAACGTTTGGGCTTGTAATGTTTACTTGAGGTTATGTTTTATGTTGTTTCCTGGTTCTTACAAGACAAGGAGTTATATCTCAAGTTTATTTTCACATTGTATTTCCTTACTTTTTTGGAACGGATTATTGGCCTTAAGTGGCATTCTGCGGGTTTGCCAAGTTTAGAAAACATCACTAATGCACTAAGCTGGGCTCTAGATTTGATGTTGTGGCAAGTTAATTAGGGCAATTAGGCTTTATAACTCTGTAAAAGGTGTGTATCCCTGAATTTAAAAATTTTATTCTACACTTATTCACTACCAAACATAATTCTGTAGAACCTTGATGAACCGAGAATTACACTAGCCTACATAACTTCATTACCCCAAGTAAAATAACAAGATAATTTTTAAAATTGTATTTGAATAGTATAATCTTAGTTTGTTAAAAATGGATTGTATATTCAACAATTATTGCAGTCCATTATTGTTATGTAGTATGGTCCCAAATTATTGTTTTTGATTTTGAAACATCACAGTTCATTTGAAAAAAATAAAAGTTGAAGCAGCCCAATGTCAAGTCACGCTTGTGCAATAGTTTTTTTTACAAGCTTTCTCCAGACCACTGGGGAGGGTCAGGTCTGATAAGCCATCTATTGTCCACCCCCAAGGCGGTTCAACCCTCATTAGTGCCGCTCGGCTGCACTCAGTGGGGAACCCAATACCACAAATCAATCTTTTAAATGAATAAATATATTTGGTAATAATTGTTTTATTGATATTCACCTTGAAATTTCAATAAATTTAGTATAAAATTTGACAAAAATCGGCCAATTTATTAATTCAGTACCAATAAAGTACATTGGTAATTAAATAATAGGTAAAAATCAACCGATTTTCGTCAAGTTTTACCCCCTGCTGTGCGCTATGTCACAAAAGCTGATAACAACATGGGTGATTAGTAACCATGGCAACTTGGCAACTTGTTGAATGCGTGATGAAGGGAAACCCAAGAAATAGAAGAACAAAGAGAAAGTACAATGACGTTGTTATCTTTATACCCTTTTTACAATTATTGCTGTTAACTCATCTGCAATTTACAATGCCTGCTGTTAACTATTGTTATTATCTTTATGTAAGATTTTATGATCTTGTTTTATAGGTTTATAAAATAATTCTTTTTAACCACGGGAATATCAATTTATAATTGATCAACGTGCTTCTCTTCTGAAACAGCAATACCGGATGCATAATAAAGGTCAACTAAGTGAAACCCGTCAAAATCGATGGTCACTGTCAAGGCTTAAAAACGCTAATTATTCATCTACGGAAAGTTAGGTGTAGTGGAATAATATACTTGAAGTGAAGTTGGCTTTTACTCTTGAACTGTTAGGGACCTCCTCCTTTATATGGTTGTGCGGCTTCATTGGCAACAAATAATTCAAATTACATAACAATGCGGCATTTGGAAAAAGCAATTTACTGTAAATTGGCTGTTACGTAAATATTGACATTTACATGCATTGTTAAACAACGTATCTTATAAAGGATGATGTGATATAGTTTAACAGGAATATGACCTTTCTGTCATGACAGTAGCTGCTTAAATAGTATTTACTCTTTGTGCCTTTTTTACAGCCAAAATGTCGTGTTATTTTAAATCATGTTAACAACCCAGTGAGCCATGGTCCGTAATATAGACCACTTCAAATAATTTGTCAAGATAGGTACCATTTTAGGCCAGGTTTCTGTGTTTGGACGTTATAACACACGATAACGTCAAAAACCGAGCAACAATAAACTTCTTCTGCAGATAAAAAATCTGTTGGAGAAATATAAGCTGAATTATAAATGTCACAATGTGAGTTTGAGCATTTTGTAACTATATGGGTAAGTTACATAGTATTTTCAAGGCTGCTGCTCAGTGCACTTTAAGAATATATTTTTAGAGATAAATTAAATCATTTTTGTTGCTGAGTAGCGTTAGTAAACATGCACAACCCATTTTGTTATTCTAATAACATTCAAAGGCTCTCTAAGAGTTCAAATTCTTATTTGTATACTTATCTATATTTTGTTTTCACTAAGCTGAATTAACAACATCAAAGTAACCTCTCTGAAAAGTCTGTAGTGAATTGCAGTTTTACAGCTTAATGACTTTCTAAATCATGCACATATTTGTACATAAATATTGTAAAATGTTTTATCCAGTTGCTGTAACTACTATTAATTTAGAAACATATGGACACTGCTCAAATGGGCAACGTGCCCTTCTGCACTTGTATAATTTTGTATTGTAATCGAAGATTTTTCCAATGATTGAAAACCTGTATAACAATAATCTCGTGAACCTATGATGAGCTGAAGAATAATATGATAAAATATGGCCAAAAGTGGGGGAAAAGGCAGACAACAACCCGTACAGCAGATATAAGATAGTTCAATAAGAAATTATTGTAAGAGTTCTGTGATAAAAGGAATATCCACTGATTTTGTAATGGAATGTTATATTGAAAAACATGACATGATACAGAATAAAATAAATTTTAAAATCAGAAAATAGCATTGCAAATACTTCTTTTTGGACAATTTAGTAACTCCCAGTAAATGTGTGTTGTTTAAAACACAATTGAAAAATCAACAGCTGTTTCATTAAAAAGTATTATCCACATGGCAAAAATGTAAACACATTTGTTGAGGTATCTGGTATCTTTAAAGGCTTCTGGGGCAGAGCCCTAAGAGAATTTACTTTGTGTTTCTTTTGATAACTCATCTACAGACCAAGGCCTTTATTTGGAGACCTCTACCAAGTTTATACGCCTAGCCGTTCTCTCAAATTAGTTGAGACAAAGTTTCCAATTAAATATTTAGATTTCCCCATGTTAATCTTATGGGAGAAAACCCAACTTTGATGGAAGATCCTGCCCAAACTAATAAAGATTTCAAAAAAACCAAAAACACTTTGCAAAACTACAGATCAGGGCCATTTTTTTGACACTAAAATCATCAAAATCGGTCCAAAAATGTGGGAGGAGTTCTGTTTACAAAAATCGGCTCAGCGTATTATATATACAGATTACCTCAAATATCATGATTGTGCAATATTG